CTTTGAGTTTGAGAGGGCGCGCTTGATAGAGAGCATCCTGAGATCTGATTCACGCGCCGAACAGGAGACACGAGGAACACACACAGACAGACACAGACACAGACACAGACACAGACAGGCAGGCAGGCAGACGGGCGGGCTGGTGGGCCAGAGCGGCTTCCCGTTCTCCTGGTGATTTTGTTGCTGCTGTTGCGGATGTTGCTGCTGTCTCTCTCTCTCTCTCTCTCTCTCTCTCTCTCTCTCTCTCTCTCTCTCTCTCTCTCTCTCTCTCTCTCTCTCTCACTCTCTTTCTTTCTCTCTCTCACACTCACACACATACACACATCTATCTATCTATCTATCTATCTATCTATCTATCTGTCTATCTATCTATCTATCTATCTATCTATCTATCTATCTATCTATCTATCTATCTATCTATCTATCTATCTATCTATCTATAGAGAGAGGGGGAGAGAGAGAAAGAGAGAGAGAGAGAAAGAATTTGAGGAGCTGGAGAGAAGTGGACTGAAGAACAGAGTGAAGAAAACGAAGACAGCCTAAATCAATAGCAACAGTAATAAGGCTTACCACATCATCAAAGAACTCTCAAGTACCAAACAAGGGCGGACCACTTCAATACATAGTAAAGAAAGGAAATACCTAACTGAGGAATAAGAGGTTCAGAACCGGTGGACAGGATATTGCTCTGATCTGTACACCCACAAAACTACGGGAGATCCAAGAGTGCTCAATGTCTCTCAATCACAAGACGATGACAAAAGCAGCATCTTCAGAGAAGAGATGGTCTAGTGACATCAGTCTCATCACTGAAGAAAGGGAAATCAGCTAGAATAGACAACATCACAGCAGAAACAGTTCAAGCAGGGGAAGACTCGGTGATAGACATGCTATGGATAATCTGCAACAAGATCTGGCAGACAGGCGAATGGCCTACACCATGGACTTAATCTTTGATCATCACCCTTCCCAAGAAAAGCAGTCTTCAACAATGCCAACACTATCGTACTATTATCCTGATTAGCCATCCTAATAAAGTAATGCTTAAAGCCATTCTCAACAGACTGAAGCCACAAGAAGAGAAAATCATAGCAGAAGGCTTCAGGACAACAGGGCGCAGCACAACTGAAAAAATATTCAACCTGAGAATCATCATGTAAAAGTACCTCCAACACCAACAGGAGCTTCACCACGTATTTGTGGACTTCAAAAAAGCTTTTGACAGAGTATAGCAGGAAGCTTTGTGGGTAACCTTGAACTTGTACAACATCAACGCCAACCTGATCAGAGTTATAGAAACGTTATATAACAAAGCTACAAGCGCAGTCTTTTTCGACAACAACATTGGGGAATGGTTCCAAACAACAGTGGGAGTACGCCAGGGTTGTCTGCTCTCACCCACTCTTTTCAACATTTTCTTGGAGAGGATTATGACAGATGCACTTGAAGATCACGAAAGAACAATCAGTATTGGGGACAAAAGGATTAATAACTTACGTTTTGCAGACGACATAGACGGCCTTGCGTGACCAGAGCGGGAACTAGTCAGCTTAGTAGACCGTCTTGAAAAGACCCCCAAGGCCTACAGCACGGAAATCAGTTCTGAGAAGACCAAACGGATGTCAAACAACAGCAACAAGAACATCACAGTGGGCATCCTGGTCAACAACCAGAGGCTTCAGACCGTGTGCAGCTTCAAATACCACAGTGCAATAGTGACAGACGACGGATCAACACCAGGAATAATCTCAGAATAGCGCAAACTTCAGCAACAACGTCCAAGTTGAAAACCATCTGGAACGACAGAAATATCACCATCAGATCAAAGATCAGACTGCTGCGTTCCCAGGTCATGTCAGTATTTTTGTATTCGTGTGAAACCTGGACCTTGAACGCAGACCTTGAAAGAAGGTTCAAAGCTGAGGAGATGAGATGCTTCCGAAAAATCCTTGGTATCTTATACAAAGATCACATCACAAATGATGAAGTCAAACAACGAATCAAAAATGAAATTGGACCATATGCTGACCTTCTCATTCTGGTCAGGAAACGAAAACAGCAATGGCATGGACATATCACCCGTTCATCGGGCCTTGCAAAGATGATCCTGCAAGGCAGCGTCCAGGGGAAAAGGAGCAGAGGAAGACTGAAGAAGAGTTGGGATGACAAAATCAAGGAATGGACATGCCTGGAACTCAAAGACACGCTCAGGAAAGTTGAAGACTGGAAGGAATGGGGGAAGCTGGTGGCCAAATCTTCTACGGGATAGGCAAAAGGTGAAAGGTAATATATTATATATCTTTGAATTTCTATGCCTGCGCTTCTTAGTATATGGCACTCCATTAGCTCAGCTTTTATCGTGCTAGGTGGATGTTACTGGAGGCCCTGATTCAAATCCTGATCAGTGTACTCATGGACTTAGTTTATTCAGATAATTTTAATGTTCAAGACTCCTCATCTACGTGGCTAAGTCGAATAGGTGATGGACACTGAAACTGAAGTTCTCGACTCTTGTATCTTCACAATCATGATAGAGGTGTTAGATTAAACCCATAACCATCAAGTCAGTCCCATTGTCGTTCTTGCTTGTTCTAAAAACAAATAACTAGAAAGGCAGAAAAAGACAGTGACAGTAGAAGACAGGAGAGAAGGAGAGCAACAACGATAATACCATCACAGTAACCCCCC